GGTATTTTGTGGGTTACTCTCTTTCATTTGGACCATCTCAGAAGGTAAGGCTTTCTGCAAAATCATTTCTACTTCTATTTAAACAGAATGATGTACATCTGTTGGGCCTCAGCAGTTATAATTTATTTGTTCAACTGTGTTTATTTATTGAAATAGGTTAATTAATTAATTTAATTAATTTATGTATGTAATATTTTGTTACCTCTTGTGTTCTGTAGGGCTTAATTGGTAGCCTGGATGATGCATTCCTTTTTGGTCTGTCTGGCACCAACTGTTCCTCACAATCCGATTCGGTGCCAGTAATTCTTTTTGCAAGTTTTGAAATGATGCTTGCTATTGTTACTCCATTTATGCTGCTATCTGCATGGTGAGTATAAAATACCATTCATTTAGTAATTTCAGGAGATTTGTTGTGCCGAAAAGCATGAATTAGTCATTAATATTGAAGGGTCATTGCTTGATGTGCTGGTTCTTAATGTGGGCCTCTGACAAGGGGGTTTATTGAAAAGGGATATTCTTGCTTCACTGTTTAGTTCAATAAATTTTGCACTTTCCTGGTGTCCAGTGGAATGTCGTCTTAGAAACAGAGTCTCCCTCCCTCTTGATGACATGACCAATCCATCTCCATCGTCTCAGTGCATGATGATGGTACCCGGCCTGCCCATGCACCCTTGTTCGCACTGTATGAGCAGATTAAATTTATTAGCATTGTTCTAGTTACTTTTTGTCCTTTCATCTTAGGACAGAGCAAATGAATATTCTTGGAGCATTGGTAAATACATTCATGCATTTACTTTTACTTGTGATCTCATCATACATGCCAAGTAATTCTTTCAATTTGCTCATAAATTCTTTTATTAATCATATTCTAGGGGTTCGCCCAAATGTCACTTTTTTTCCAACCCCCAAAACTACTGTTTTTACCATTTGTTACTTGTAGATTATTTATTTGTTGTGGCCAATTTTTGTGTACTATCCTATGACTCACTGGATAAGAGGAAAAGGATGGCTTCATCATCACTTTGGAATTGTCGATCAAGCTGGGAGCCTGACTGTGCATACTTCAACAGGTAACTCATATGTTGGCATTGTGGAGCACCCAGAATTTTAAGTAGGTACAGTGTTCATTTGTGGAGGCATGGTGGCCAAATAGATAGCGTGCTGGATTCCAGATCAAGTGGTCCGGGTTTGAGCCCTTTAAAATGCCAGGGTTGTGTTTTTGCACAAGATTCTGCATGTACTCTGTACTCTCACTGTGCCTCTTTCCACTATGGTGTATAAATACCGGTAGGTAATGGTGCCTTAATGCTGGGGATAACTCTACAATGGACTAAATAATAAGCATCCTCTCCAGGGGGGGAGTAGAAATACTCCTACTCATTCATGCTAATTATAAAACCAAAGATAAGCAACTGGCTGAGGTGTCACTAGGCTGGAAATGCAGATTGAAATGCAGACTGGCCACTTTCTCTTGGTTTGAAGAAAAGCTTGGTCCACCTGTCATCTTTGCAATTTTTTTTACTTTTATGGCTAGAATTTGGTGGTCTGTTTTGGTCAGATTAGAATTAATTCCATATAATAATGTACTACTTATTTAATTACTACTTATTTAATTTTATATCCTGAACAGAATTTTGCTTTTTTTCTTGCTAGGGTCGTCTGCTCTTGTTTTCACCAAGATCCTTAAAAAGGTTCATGAAAACCATACACAGAAACAAAGCCAAGAGAATAAGCACCAGCATCCTCAAAGTGTGTTTCTTATTGTTGGAGTGTTGATGACCTCTCTTGGATGGTAAATACAGTTATGGTTAAATGCTGGTTTACACTCCTATTAAGGAAATATAGTTAATATTGTTGGTACAACCTGAAAGAATGCCCAAGTCATGGTAGACTAAGAGGGTTAGTACCCACTTTAGGCTTGCATCTCATAGCCATCTTAGAGATCTTTGGGGGNGGGAGGTTAGCTATTTACTCCTAACAAACTGAGTTAAACAACGTCAGTGACTGACAAATCAGACCAGTGCACAGATTGAAGACCGTATAATTTGATTGACGCATTACAATTTGTTGTGGAGAGCAAGGCCTTGCTCTCCAGCAACAATTGCCAAACAAATCCGCTAAATTTTTCGAAAATTCAAACTTACTCTTTGGTGTTTTCAATATGCTTTTTCGATTTCTGCCATTCTTTAATTTATAGCCTATAATATGGATTGGGAAAAAATTGGTCACATGACCCCAGCTGCGAAGGGCCTATTGTGTTGCAAGTGAACTCTCATTTCATGGTATTCTTTGTTACCTTAGGTACTCTGTAAATATTGGATCTGTACACAAGTTCAATGATGCTGTGATTCTTTCATTTATTAACTCTCACCTTGCTGTCTGTGCATCTTTACTGAGCTGGTTAATAGTGACTTATTTGACAAGGAAGAACTTTAACATGACAGAACTTCTACAGGGCATCATGGTCGGTCTCGTAGGTATGCCTGTTGTCATTACTACTCATTGACTTATGATATAAAGCGTTGGTGGTGGTCTTCCTAGACATTTCCCTGTTTGAAACAGTCTCAATATTAATATTTTGGCCCAATCTAGATGTTAAATTATATTCTAATATTTAATTGAAGTTAATGGTAACTGTTTGTGTTTTGACAATATACAGTGGGTTGAATTTTGCTCATGAAGCTAAATGGGGCACAATTCATAGAAATAAAT